AAACTAAAAAAAAGCAAATTAAACCCAGAATAAGTAGATGGAAGGAAATAATAAAGAGCCTCAATAACTGAAATAGAAAANCCTGAGCCCTCACCCCCATCCCTGCCCACTGAGCAAACCTTTAGGGAACAGTATGCTTCTGTCTTTTCTTTCTGTGTACCAGTAAAAAGCACACTGATGATCAAATGGATAAAATCAATACCATTTACCATACAAAGAAAAAGGCAATCACTTTGTTCAGTGGAGCATTCTCTGCCACACAAGAATTTTAAAAATACATTCTAGTTAGCATCTGATATAACAGATGTTTTCTAGCTAGTTCAAAGCTATTTAAAGAGGCAACTTACGATCAAAGGGGAAAAAACAGTCACACTTTTCCAAAGCTAAAGAACACGGTTTTATGCAGTGCAGACTGAAGGCAGTGACTGTCACATCAGCACAGGCAAGGGGAAAAGGTACCACTTTCTGCTCCCGAAACAGCTCAGGACTCCCAGAGAAAATAAGTGGAGGACGGGAGAAGCAACAGGCTCCTTTTGCAGGAAAGGTTCTGAGCTCCATTTGGAATAGAGGTGTATGAAGGGGGCTCGGTAATCAACCTTCATGCCATTTTTGTCTGCAAAAGACTTCTGATGCCAGAGTAATAACGGCAGCCAAAGGTTGGCAGGAGCTGAAGAATTAAATAGACTCTAATGGTCCTAGAGAATGAACAGCTGCACTGTCCCCGAAAAGGAGACTGACATTCTCACCTCTATTAATACAGCCAGGATAGGGCCTGATTAGATACGGAAATTTCTCAAGAGGATCTGGGGGAGATGACATTTTTTGGAATTATTTTGGCCTCTAATACCTGTGGTGGGCCAGGGCGCTTGGACAGCTGGCTTAGCGGGTTCTTGGTGCTGATGGAAAAGCCGACCCAGCTTGTCTTGCATTTCCTGTTTGCCTTTTTCCTCGCTGTCCTTCCTTTTGACACTCTCTTCCCTTTTGAGTTTTTCCTCATCGTGGAGTTTTCTCGGTCGCTGATGCTCCTCATCCTGTGGCACGTGCTCAAGCCACTGCTTGTCCCTTTCCTGAGCTCGTCTGTCAACAAAGTGCTTGATTACAGCACAGAAACAACTCCACCTTAACACTGCTATTGTCTCTTTTCACAGAAAAGCTCCATCTAGTCAACAGGATGCTAAACATGAAGGAGAGACTGTTGGTCAGATGGGGCGATCTGAATCAACGAAACAAAGGCGCTCAGGGCTCCAATTCTGAGTGAGATGAAATCATGTGATTCAGAGAAACACAGAAAGAACATGTTTGATGTAGCTTATAAAGTGATAAAAAAAATAACAAAAATATTTCTCAATTTTAAAACTGGTATATAACTGCAAAAAAAAAAAATTAAAAAGCCATAAAACACACAGGAACATAAGTTCCATGAACCAAAAAGTACAACCAACACAGCAAAATGAAATATTGCTTAAATAAGCCCATAATCAGTCAGATCATTAAGGGTACACACACGGGCCGGTCGGGTGGCTCAGNAGAGAGTGAGAGTGTGTGTGTGAAGGGGTAAGGGGGCAGGTGGACAGAAAAGGAACGAGTTAGAAAATCCTGTCCTCTCTGCAGTAGAAATAGCTAATTAAGAATCTTCTCTCATATCTACCTTATACTGCCAGAAAGAGAAAACTGACTCCATTTTGTCCTGAATAACTGAGTTTTCCCAAAATGTCTCAGCATTGTTTACAAAGCAATAGTCCATTATTTTAAATGCATTCATTCCAAAGGACAAAATTGTCAAGGAGTTTGGCTAAACAAGAGAATTCAAATAGAAAATATTTCTTTCAAAAGATTGAGCTTTGCTTTTTTCCCTTGCCCATATCACCTTTTGTTAAACATTTTTTTAAATTACAAAAAAAAAACAAAAACAAAAATAACCCCACAGTATAACTAAAAAACTCAACCCAACCAACCAAACAAGCCTACTGGTAGGGCATAGGATCCAATATACAACATCTGTTTAGCTATTTTGAGTCTTGGGAGTGTTCTAATTATTTTTCTACATTCAAGGAATCTGTGTAAAGTTTCTGCAATCACAGGTACACTGAATGAGAGTTTAAGAGAATTTTATTATTTCTGCGCAAAAGAGGTCTTTTCAAAACGATCATACACGTAAAAATAAAATTTAATCTTGAACAAAATAAGATAGCAAGCCACGAAACAGCAAACATTATTCTACTGATATGAAAAAACAATGCTGTTATTTAAATTCACACTGATTTCTGTGCTGTCTCTGCATCTCCTCTTTCTGGATCTTTTTCTTTCCTTCATTGTTTCTCTTCACATGTATTTTTTTTTCCCTGACTTCTCATTCTGTTCTGCAGTTCTTTCTCCAGCTCTTTTCTTTCTTCCCCTGGTTGCTAAACATTTTGCCTTTCACTGCCTTCATAATGAATGAGGCTGCCATGAAAGCAAGTGTCTGAAACCAAGAGCATAAAAGCCTTAGTTGAGCTGAGAACCTTTTCACTATAAAATGGCATTCTCATCTCAACAACGATTCAGTTCCTAGGAGCAATTTTTAGGATAGGTATTATTACAGGCAGAATTTGTATTTCTAATGGCCTCTTGTGTCTACTTTAAGAAAATTAAATTGTGAATTTCCCAAGTATACTAAGGAATATAATTCTTAACTCTGAATTAGTCCTATCTACTCAAATTCTTAGAAAATAGTCCACTTTTGCACTAGTATACTGACTCTGATGCTGTTTCCCATATGATGGAAATATGCATATAGACACAAATAATCCCTGAGTGTTCTCTTTCCAATTTTTGCAGCCAAGGAGCAGATGCAATGTCAACAATGCCTGATATAAAGACAAGACCACAGTACACAGTACCTTCTCCAGCTTGTAATTAGGAGCTTCCACCAACACACACAATTTGTCAAGAGGAAGGATTCGGTCACACACCACGATTAGTAATAGCTAATTATGATTAACTTTCACAAAGAAGGCTCAGCGCAACATGGTGAATGCTGTCTTGGGCACTGAGCACGCCTCTGCGTGGGGAAGGCAGAAGCGCAGAGCTGGAGACGCTGCACCACTCAGCCTGAGAAAGATGCGCGTCGCCTGAGGAGGGCATGGACCTTTAGAAAGAAGTCGAAGTGGATGACGCAGCCAGGAGGACTGCCAGGCACTGCAGCACCGCCTCCCCCACCGCCACTGGCTGGAAGAAAGATGCAGAAATGGAAACGCCACTCTCATGAGGGCCTGTCCAGCACATGGTGACTAGACAGGAACCAGCACAGGCTCAACTTTTCAGCATGAAACACAACATCTAGTCTCTGTGTGATGGGTTCTCTTCACTTGGCATCCATGTCAACGGAGCCGTGAAAACTATAAGCTATGCTTTATGTTGCTCAATGTAGTTAAGAAATTAAAATACAGAGCATAGGCTATCAGTGCCAAGGAAAGCTATTACAGAAACTACTAACATTGCCAAGGGCAAGGTGAAGTCAAGTGCTACTGTCCAGAAAGTCCCTACTGATCAGGTTATTTGATACCTACTCGAACCATAATTTTATACCTATAGCTAAGCACTGTACGTAAGAAACACGATTATCAGGGTGACTCTGTGTGCCCTTTAGACACAGATGCTCCATAAAATATTGAGCTTTGATTTTCCTGTAAAATGAGGTAAAAAGAGGAAGTCATAGATAATCGCTAATTTTAAACTGATGTTTCTAGAACATGAATATGAGAAGACTATTGACTTCTTAGNAAAAAAACCAAAAAACTGCAAGTCCCTACACATCTTTTAAATTCCAACATCTAGCCCTATTTCTGGCACATGCGAGGCACATAATAAATGGCTGTTAAAAGGATAGATGCACAAACAAAAACCTGCCTGTTCAAAACTTTAAATGAATATCTACCACCAACGGAAAACAAAAATTCCAAATTCTAAGCATTCCTGTCTTCTTAAGCATGCCTTTGAGCCTTTATTCCCATTACTGTCAACCTGAAAAGTTCCTCCATTCCTCTTGTAATGACCCTATTCACCTTCGAGTCTCCATTCAACTGTGATCTCTTCCACAGAGATTTAATTCCTTGTGCTTTTCCCAGTTTATGCCAATCAGCTCTAAGTAAGCTCAGCTGTGCCTCGGTAACACTGATTTCAGAAATTGATCACACTTATGCACTGCTCTGATTATTGTTTATATTGATGTCTTAAATCCTCAATTATAGTATAACCTTTGAGAAAGCATGACCGTGTATTATTAACATCTAGATTCTTCACTGTACTCAACACACTTGCACAAAGAACATTCTATTCTCATTAAGTAGTTTATCAGTGAACAAAAGTAATTCAGATTAAAGAGGAAACTGGGAGAACTGGTGTCCTGAGCAGGCCCATTAACCTCTAAGCATTTTAAATGCAGCAAAATGACACTGACAAAGTATTTAACATAAAGAGACTCCACAATAAATTTCACTTGCTTCTTAGTATCAACTGTCATCTCATGATTAATAATTCAGTCACCTTAGAATATTTTAGTAGTATGATGTGTGTACCATTATAAATGTGGATTATTTACAAAAGGTTCACATTAAATTTCAAATAGCTTCTTGTTATTAAGGAGTGTCCAAGTCTCCTATAACAACCTAAGAAAATAACAGTAGTGACTTTACATTTTCTTTCTGCACCAGTGGTATTAACCAACCGCCTTAAAGGCTTACCAATTTTGAGTGCTTTATAGATAACAGAAGATTTTTGTTTAGTAGTAACTAATCAGATTTCAATTTAAAAGCTAAAACAAGAGTGCATTAGCAGAGTACATAATCGTCTTATCTCTATACATATATGCAAATCCAAAACCATATTAAAAGGGTCTCCTTTCTGCCTAAGGTCAGTTAAAGGAACAAAGCAAGAATGTCAAAAGCTAAATTTATTTTACCTCCGCCTTGGAGATAGAACATCTCTAATATGATATAACTCAAATATAAAGACTGCCTTACCAGGCAATTTCTTTTCTAGTTGTTGTTGTTCATCTTCTAAAGCTGGTTCCTCTGGTAACCTCTGATCTACCGAGCTTGAACTTATGACAGATACACCACTGCCAGATCGAACTCTTCTGCAATTATGGAAAAGAAAAAAAAAAGACACAAATTCACGTAAAGCTGTTTAGATGGAACTGAGCAAACTATGCAAAAGAATTTGTAAAGATTATGCCACATATCATGGTATAGTTAGGGGAAAAAAAGAACAGTTGATCCTCACTATTTACAAAGAGTTTTAAAAAATAAATATTTGAACATCATTAGACTCTGAGCGCTAAGTAGGTTCAAATGTTGAGAACCACTGCCCAAAGGAGGGCAAATCCAAAGGGATGAATTAGGGAATAATCATAAAGTGGCTACAACAGTGCCTGGGACATCGGACATGTTCGCTGCTTTTACCACCACCTTTTATGGAATGTTAAATTCCTCCAAGGGAAGATTAGCAGCTTTTCCTTTTACAAAGGTCTCTCCATTTTATCTCTTAATAAACACATGAAATGTCTACACTTTATAGTCCTCAAAACAAATCATTAGTTTACTGATTAGTTTCACTTTAAACCATTGACCTTGTTCTTTAAACATCTACCTATCTATTTAAATTGTTGTTTTTATCAGCTTCCAGTGTTAAGTGTCTCTCATTGTGATTCTTACAGCTGTGGGATTTTGTAGATGGACGGCCCAGCACAGGATAATTTTCTTTATCTTCCTGACTATAATTTCTACATTGCCAGCATTTTGTTACCTCTTGAATGTGTAGAATTCACAGGCAGGATCTCCTTGCTTGATTTTCTATGTCCAGGTTGATAACAGTTTTGCTTTGCTAAAATTTCTAGTGAGCTTCAATTATATAGATTGGTGCAAAAGTCACCCATCTGTTGATATTTCACTTCATTGTTTTTACTAACACAGGCATACCTCATTTTATTGCACTTTGCTTTATTGAAATTCAAACGCTGCATTTTTTTTTATTTTTTTTTTACAAATTGAAGGCAAGATACTCCACCAGCAAAGAGACAGCAACTCATTTCATTGTGATGGTCTGGAACCAAACCCACATTAGCTCCGAGGTATGCCTGTATACTATAAATATTTTAAAGAACAGAACCCAAGATTAACACAGAACCTAAATAAGAAGATTTTCCTGAATTCATGGATATTTCATTCTCTTGCCAGGAATAAAAATGACTATGAGACACACAGCCAACAAAGCCAAGTTTGAAATTCACATACTCAGCACAGAATTTCTCGTAAGCACTAAATGTTCCTTACTTAGGGCCAGACAAGTGGCTCAGTTGGTTAAGAGTTGGCTTAAGAGTTCAAGCTCTGAGCAACAGGGTCACCGGTTTGATTCCCACATGGGCCAGTGACACTGTGCCTGGGCTGAGCTGTCGCTGAGCTGCCAACAGGTGGCAGGATGGCTCAGCTGGTGTAACAACAAGATTGCCTCTTCGATGGTGGGTTATGCCCACCTGCAACTAACACTGAACTTGGCACCTTGAGCTGAGCTGCTGCCTGGATGGCTCAGTGGATAGAGCATGCGCTCTTAACAATAAGGCCACTGGTTCGACTCCCGCATGGATGGTGGCTACACCTACCCTCAACTAAGACTAAACACAGCACCTTGAGTTTAGAGGCCACGAGCTGCTGACAGGAAGCCAGATGATAACTGGCACCCTCCACAACAAAGACTGAAGAACAACAACTTCGCTGGTCCCCTTCCCCAATTCCCCAACACTGTTCCCCTCCCCCAACTCCCCAATAAAATCTTAAAAAAAAAAAAAATGTTCCTTACCTAAAGGAAGGTGGAATGTATTCTGGAGGCAGGGCAGGTGGCAGTGGCTGGCCAGACATAGCTACATCAATTAGGTGCATGGCCAGGATAAATTCTTCTGCTGTGAGCTTGCCATCTTGATCAATGTCGGAAAGATTCCTATTCAACAAGAAGCTCATTGTAATCTAGTTTCATGAAAATGCATGCTTGTTACTATTCATGCACAAGTAATTTAAACATTCTACTTTCTATTCTGACTCTAGGCCTACTGAGTCTCTCTATGCCTCAGTTCATAAAAATAGTACCTATTTCATACAACTGTTGCAAAGATGAAATGAGACAGTCTATATAGTTGGGATGGTGTTCAGCATTCAACAAATGTTAACTATGATTATAACTATACTGATCTCAGTCCTTGCAAGTCCGTTTAAAATGTATCATGTTCTATGCTCAGCAAACTACCAGGTCAGACTGTAAATATTTAAGCTTTGCAGGACATACTATAATAAATCTATCACACTAAATTCTGCCATTGCAGCGGGAAAGCAGCCATAGACTATATATAAATGAATGGGCATTGTTGTTTTTCCAATAAAACTTTATTTACAAAAACAGGTGCAGGCCAGCCTTGGCACACTGGGCTCAGTTGGCCATCCCGATCTATGCCCACTCGGATGGATCTTTATGGCCTTCAGCCATAGAATTATTATTTTCCAGGCAGAACCAATGGATAATGCATAACTGAGAGATACACACTTCTTTTCTTTTTAAAGATTTTATTGGGGAATTGAGGGAGGGAACAGCATCGGGGAATCAGGGAATGGGAACAGAGAAGTTGCTGTCCTCTTGTTCTTCAATCTAGTTGTGGAGGACGTCGCTTCACTGGCTCATGTTGGTATTATTGCACTCTTCCCGGGTGAGGCAGATCGGTCGCCGGCCATTGGACTGCTGCTCATGGCGGCTCACAGCAGCTCATGCCAGCTGCCGGCTGCTCACGGTAGCTTACGGCAGCCCACTGCAGCCCTACTGCAGCCTATGCCATCGCCAGTGACTCACGGCAGCCCAGCTTCAGGTTGAGCTGTTGTTCGCCATCTTAGTTGTAGAGGGCGCAGCGTCACTAGCCCATGTGGGATCCGAACCAGCGGCCCTGCGCTCAGAGCTGGTGTCCCAAGCCAACTCTTAACCAACAAGCCACTCAGCTGGCCCAAGATACACACTTCTTAAGAAGCCATGCGGGCTAACATTTATATGTAAGGAATCCTGTATAATCTAGGCAATGCTCACCAACAGCTATTAAAAACCATTACAAAATAGAGATATTCATGTGCATCCTGAGGAAAGCACACGGTATCATCTCTGATGCAGTCTTGCACAAAAAAGCAGAGGGGACATATGTCCATTTCTGAAGACATTTTTGATTGTCACCACTGGGGGTGAGGGGCATCTAATAGGTAGAGGCCAGAAATGGTATTAAACAACCTGCAATGCACTGGACAGCCCCCTGCAACAAAGAATTATTGGGTCCAAAATATTAATTGTGCTTAGGTGAAGAAAGCTAATCATCAATCTACAGGAAATATAGGAATAAATTAACACCACAAGGGAGCAATCATCAAAAGTTAGACTATAAGAAACTATAAAACAAATGATCTCAGGGTTTTTTTGGGGGGGTGGAGTAGATGGGAGGAGTTGAGAACAAGACAGTGAGTTAATAAGTTAAAGGACTCTTAAAAGATGTGTTAACCAATTAGTGCAAAATATATTTATTTCAGCCCTGAAATAAATCAACCATAAAAACATTATGAGGTGGGCCAGCCAAGTGAATCATTGATTAAAAGTTGGCTTGGGACTCCAGCTCTGAGCAGCAGGGCCCTGGTTCGGATCCCACATGAGGGCCAGTGACGCTGCGTCCTACAGCTAAGATGGTGATCAACAGCTCGACCTGGAGCTGGGCTGCCCTGAGTTGCCGGCGAAGGCATAGGCTGCAGCCCCTGCTGCAGTGGGCTGCCGTAAGCTACCGTGAGTGGCTAGCAGCCGGCGTGAGCGCCTAGCAGCTGGCGTGAGCTTTCGTGAGCTGCCATGAGCAACTATCCAATGTCCAGCGAGCGATTAGCCTCAGCAGGGAAGAGCACAATGATAATACTAACATGGGCTAGTGAAGCGACGTCCTCTGCAACTAGACTGAAGAGCAAAACGACAGCAACTTGTCTGTCCCCCTCCCCAATTCCCCAATAAAATCTTGAAGAAAAAAAAAGAAAAAAAACATTATGAGGCAATCTAAGGAATTTCAATACTATCTGATTAACTTAATAAAAATTACTATTAAATTTTTAGGTGGACAGTTGGTACTGTAGTCATGTTGAAAGAAATCCCTATCTTTTTTGGAGATACAAGGTGAAATATTAGAAGATGTAAATAATATGACTGAAGGTTGGCTTAAAATAATTGGGAAGGAGGGGAAAACCAAGGCTAACCCTGAGTTGAGGCTTATTTAAACTGGGTTATGAGCGCTTGAGAATTCATTATATGAATTTCTCTGCTTTTGCATTTTTCAAAATGAAAAGGGGGAAAAGTAAGACAGGTAATCATTACAAGTCATTGAAAAATTAAGCATACTCCGTCTATCCCCCCTATAAATAACAATATTAATCCAAAGACAGATGAGGCCATGCTAATTTAAGAAATAAAGTTTCCATGTTATACAAACCAAGGAGCTTTTCATTCCTTACCATATTGAAGCCAGCTGAGCCTGTGGTAAACTTGATTGCATAAGAATAGTTCTTGCTTGGGGACCTAAACAGAAACCAAGAAAAAAATATAAAGATGAATCAGCAATCGTCACCATCCGGGAAAACCAGTGTTCTGCACATATGTGCGATGCAGTCTCGTGCAATCACAGTGCTTGAAACAATATTTGCTATTACCCAAGAGGCTTTTTTTTTTTTAAGTTTCTTGGGGTGACAATTGCCAGCAAAGTTACACAGATTTAAGGTTTACAATTCTGTAACACATCATCTATATATCACATTGTGTGTTCACCACCCAGAGTCAGTTCTGTTTCCATCACCATATATTTGATCCCCTTTACCCTCATTTACTACCCCCCTCCCGCCTCCAAGAGGCTTTTTAAAAAGGAAATTAAGCCCCAATGAAAAGGGGAAGAAACACAAAGCACAGCACAGCAACTGGCACACACTCAATAAATGTCTGTTAAATGGATGATGAATGAAGAATGAATTTCTAAATATAACCTGCCCTTTTGTCCATATTACCATCTCTATTAGTATTAGGCTTTTATTTACAAAGTCTATTTACAAAGCTGAAACTTATTCTCTCTAAATTCAACATCATCTGCTACCACCTGCTGACTCTACCACGACTAGTATCAGACAAATTTAGGGAAGAGTCAGAGAACTTTAGAGGATGAAGGGACCTTAGGGAAAACTCTTCTAACTACTTCAGTATACAGGCTTAAAAAAAATAAAAATAAAACGAAAACGACTTGCTCAAGTTTCCACAAATGGCTAATATCACAACCAGGATTAGAATTTCCGGTGTTAGTAATTTAAAAGAATTACTGGAATTTCCATTCTTCTTTCAAAATCATCTCTCATTCCTTAAAATACTTGTAAATATCTTCATTTCTGGAATAAAACTAGCCTTAGATATCAGACAAAGGCTACAACAGGAGATTTTGAGTCTTTGAATAAACCAGTAGTAGGGAGAGAGACAAATAAGTCTTTATTTCCCGCCCTGCCTCTTGGGGTATATGGTCCCAGGATGACTGATGGACCAGGAAACGGAAGGCTGTAGCAATTGTGTTGGAAAGATTCCTGTGTACAAGCTTTTGCTCTGAGCTATTTCACTTTTCATGTGGCACCTCATCACAAACACCAAAGTGGATGTGTTTTCGCACAGCAAGCCGCAGCGGTTGGGGACCTCTGAGCATCACTAGAAGGTTCCAGCACAGGAAACTCCAGAGAACAGCAGGAAAAGTGCTGATGAACCAACCGGGAGGCTGTGTGCTCTGGCCCTGGCCCAGGCTACAATTTTCCAAGTCACACAGGGCAGGCAGTTTCTTCACTTGTTAGACCCTAGTTTTCTCATTTCAGAAGTCCTTTCCAGAGTTACATGTCTAGGAACGTTCAGATTACGAACCATAACACAGAGCTCAGCACAGTGCTAGCACATAAAAATGCTCACTAAATGGTACTCAATATTACTGACAATATTTTAACTTTTATTTACCTGTAAAATGTGGGCAGAAAGCACACATGAATATACCCTGTGTATTTTTACATGTCCACATGTACGCAGCTTAATTAATCTCCAAACTGGAAATGGTCAAGGAAACAGTACCCAGGTCATGAAACAGCACCCCAAAAGCCCCTCTTGAACTCCCATCAATCATCCCCTCCCACCAAGTGTAGCCTAACTTTTAATGGCAGAGTGCATCTATGTTAAGTCGGGCTTATTTTGCCCAATATTTTATTGTATGTAGCTGTAGAACATAATGCTAACTGCTGTGTACTATGTCACAGTTTGGGGCTATTATGAATCATGAACACACATGTACATTCCTGCTTCATGTGTGTGTGTGAGCACCTAAGAATAACAAACAATCTTTATTGAATTAATGTGAAAGGTCTAAAGGTTCTGTGACATGCTGGAATGAAAAAGTTCACTTATCACTTTACTTAGTCCCTAACATTGTATTTAGAATAGGCAACATTAGAGTTTTATTAGCAAAACTTTACTGAATGCTTCAATTTATACTTGTAACAATGCTCTCCAATTCAGAACTATATAAAAGAAAGTTAATCATTCATCTACTCTCAATAAAAAGTGTAACAATAAATGAAAAGAATGAACCCTGGACCTGAATATCACAAGATGTGGATTCCAGACCTAACTTCCCACTCTCTAATGTGACATTAACAAAACTACTTTTACTCTCTAAGAGGAAGTTCCTTCAGTTCTGAAATGAAGGAAATGAACTAGAACAGGGACTGGCAAACCACAGACCACAGGCTACATCCGGCCCACCGCCCACTTTTGTAAATAAAGTTTTATTGAAACATAGCCATGTCCATTCATTTAAGCATGACATCCGGCTGCTTCTTTACTGCAATGGCAAAGTTGAGTAGTTGTGACAAACAGTATCTGGCCGCAAGCCTAAAATGTTTACAATTTTGCTCTTTACAGAAAAAGTGTCTTGACCCGTGCACCAGAAGATCACAACTGTCTTTTGCAATCCTGACAGACGACTCTACATGTCCTAAGACAAGGTTGTGAAACATTAAAATAGATAGGCAACAGCTAAAGTACCCTCTCAGCATAACAGGACAGCACAAAATTGAGCTCTGAATGCACAGAACTATCCTGCAGAAACCTAAATTCATAAAAGGATAACAGTTTTGGAATAGTGGCTTATAAGTGAACATTATGAGGATAAATAAAAATCTCAAGTTCATAAACTCTACTCTGGGCATCCATATTTGGATAAGAAAGCATGAATACAAAGAACAGAGAGAAATCAAGTTAATGCTTTATTTCAAACAATGGCTAAGACTCTAGCTTTTGTGATTAATATATGAATAACCAAATAGCATACTCATTGGTTCAGAATGCAAGAAGATAATAAAATACCTCTTTGAGGCGAGGGCTAGCATTAACAGGTCTCCCAGAATTCCACAGGTACTTACTGAACCTTGATTAAATGGGCCTGTTCTATTGTATGAGACTGTCTCTTTTAAGAGCATACATATCGAGTTGTGAAGGAACACGGGGTGCCCACCTAACCAGGTGTATCTGCTAAATCAACCCAGGTCAACGGCGTCTCTGATAGATTAGCTTCACTTCCCACAGCGGACAAGCTCATGCCACAAGCTCAGAGGTTCTCACTTTCTTCTAATTGGGACCAACCAATGGCATTCTTAGGCCCACACCATACTCTTACAGATAGAGCCACACTTTAATGGCATCTAAAAAGATGTAAATGAAACAAAATGGTGATCAGAAATTGCTGTGACCACCAGCAGTACATTAATAGTGGGCATTTGCCGCAGGCTACAGCACAGACCAGCGAGGCTGCAGGATGTGCAATTCTTATGGTGCTAATTCCACTCGGCTCCAAAACACACGTGAATGCAAGAGAGTAAGAGACAGAATAAGGATGACCTGGATTCTCCGCTTACTGATATTAAAATACGTATCCTCCTATACTAAACTGGTATTCATAACACTAGGATGTCACAACTCCAAGGTTGCCAACTGTTGCGTTAGATTAAGAAATTACAATTATGTGCAAGTTGTAAAAATGCTTTCTGGTTCCTTCAAAACAACCACCCCCAAAAATGAAACCCTGAAGGAAAAAAAAGAGATTAAGAATATTAAATTAAATATTTCACTTGGGCCTTTATATTCTGGGACTTTTCCTCAACTATTCCTCTTATTCTTAAGCTGAATGAGAAACTGCTTTGGGGGTTCAGGATTCATATAACTATTTTCTAAGTTGTGATCATGACAATGGTCTTTGTATTTCATTCAACTCAACAAACCAGCTCTGTTTCCATCAACAATGTCATTTAGCCCAAAACACACTTATATTCATTCCTCACAAAGGGAAAACAAACTGGATTTCTTTAATTTACTCCTATTTTTAAATTTACTACAATAAACTATTCTATTTGACGTGACTACACAAAGATCTGGTTTAAAAATAAAATTCCCACCTTACATTCTTGCCGGAACCAAACAGTAATAATACACAGATAAACATTAGCAAAATCTGCTCTTTCCAGTATATTACAAATTTTACTTTCTGCCCCAGATAGTAAACGTTCTAAATACTCAAGTGCCTGGGTCATTATCTTTGGGTTGAAGATGCTGCACTTCAGTCATAAAACACACATCCTACCAAGATGGAATTTTACATCAATGTTGCGTCTGAATACTATTTTAATTAACTCATAGCAAACACCAACAATGAAGAAATGTTTTCAGATTCACTGGCCATGTAGTTCTGGGTCCGTGTGGAGTACTGGTGTCAAACAAACCGTGTTCAACGGTACTTAAAACTATACTGTTGAATATTCCTTCAGCGCCCATATAAGTTGGACTCCTTTTTCACGCTGTGTGTAAAATCAACAGCGGCTGCTTTGGCAGAGAGTAAGCGTGGCCCACAGAGAATTTGTTTATACTTATAATTTGCCCCTTCAGTTACAAATATATGCTTATTTGAGAGAACTGCTGGGATTGTTTATGGGGATAGGGTTCACGATTAGATCAGAACCCTTCAAAGTCTCACCCAATCCTAACATTTTTAAACAAGGACAAATTTTTCTTTTGGAAGTAAAAATTACAATTGTAAGTGATAACAAAAAAAGTTAGTAAGAATAAAAAAATTGAAAGTGTTTTGTGTTATATACCAGTGCTTCTCCACCCCAAGAAAATTAATTCTTTGTCCCTTCCTTTTATACTTATTAAAAGGCAGTTAGTTATATTTTTCCCTTTTACACTTTTAATGTTCATATCAGAGGTCTCTATTTTCCTTTATTAAAATTACAGGGGTTTTTCTTTATAACTGATCTATGGTAAATGTATAATCCTTCATTAGAAAGATTTCTGGACAGTATCCGAAAATCCTTTCTACCCTCCTGATATAGATAACAGATTAAAAAAAAAAATCCAGTGAGATCATATAACTTAACTCTGGCCTCTTACACATGAATAAGATCCAAATAGGCAAAGTAAGTGACCACCACCGAGTTGGTGGCATGGCCAGGTCCCAATCTCCCCAGCCAGTTACCTTTCACCCTACATAACTGCCTTAAACACTGACTCTTTGCGTAGGCAGTTTCAAGTTTGTCTACAAAGCTGGACTTCAGAACTTGAACCACTTTTGGTTCACAGCAATGTTTCTTTGCTAGTGCTTTGATTTGCATATGAGGAGCATTTAGGGTGCAGGAGGATACGTGGTCTCTGCTCCATTTACCAAAAAGCAATGGGGCAAAAGCCAGAGGCACTCAAGAATAAAGTAACTATGGCTTTAACCGTAGATGAGAACTCAAGATAAGAACCACAGTGAAATCCTGCTCAGAAAAAGCAAAGAGGGGAAGGTGTTTCGAAAATATCCTTGGCCCAGCATCTAAAAACAATTCGCATTTAGAACAAAGATCATATTTCACTCAACTTTTTTTTTTTGTTTATGCATACCTGTTAAGTGTCCACTCATAGTTTTGTCATGACTATTGAATAACTGTCTGTATTTCAGCCTGGAGGACTGAGGAACAGCCCATTCTGCCACCGGAGGGACACTGTGTGGAAAGGGGGAAGGAGAGAAAACAGGAAGAACAGTAAACGACAGCCTACGTAAGTTCTTCAAAACCAGCCAACTAAGAACTTCTCTAGAAATGAGCTTTACCCTTTTATTCACTTTTGAGTCATAATTTCTGAATCTTCTGTAATGAATGTGTCTTTTTTTTTTTTAAGTTATCAACATTTCTTTCACAATAAATACAATTAAGCTGAAGGGGAAACACAACAGATGGCGTGGCTGTTTCAAGTTGTAGATACAATTTAATAACTTAGAGGTTTTACAAAAGTATGGAAAACCTTCTTGGAACTGAGAGGATACACTCATGTCGAGGCTTTTCTAAACAGTTCTCTCTGGGTTTAAAAAGCAATGCTGATAGCAGACAAATAACTGCCTTGCAAGGTATTAATTCTTTAAAATGTTTAGCTTTCTGTACATCAAAATACAGGATGTATTTCTTACTGGAAGGAAATTATTTCATTCTGGGAAGTTGAAATTCCCACAAATGGAGAGTTGCCCAGAAAGATGAGAACGTTCCTGGGGTCACAGCAAATCAGCAAGCAGCCCTGGAGGGAGCTCCACTTTCCGCCTGAGACCCTGTGCCAGCCTTTCCTCGCCAGCGCAGCAACCAACACCTGAGGAAGCCCCAGCCAGTAGGCAGCTTGAGTCTGGACCTCCCAGGGAGCAGCTGCCACACAAGTATCACAATGGTCCCCCTGACTTGTTAAGAGCCAGATGTGTAAATAGGGCCATGTAAACACAATGGCTAAACGACCAGTCAGGACAGATTACAAGGAATGTTCCATGTGCCATCTGCTTTCATTTCAACAAAAATATATGTTTCTTACATGTAAAAGCAAAATTTTAATCATAAATTGAACCTCTTAGTCCTCATTTATATACGTTATCTATGCACTTATAGGCACTTGAAAAGTAAAGGAAATGGCTCCCAATCACTTGAAAAGTACCTATATAAATGCCCCTTTTCAATTTTTATAAATTTCTTAATGAAAAACACTTACCAAGATCTATTCTGCTGTGTGTACTTCTGCAACAACTCTCTCATTTTAAACTAATATTTTGCTGATTCCAACTTCTGCCTATTTGTCAAAAAGCAAATTATCTTTCTTCCGCACCCCAGGAATGTAGGGTGTTTACACACAGAAGTTGTCCCAGATTACTCTTATCAAGGCATAGTTTTCTACCAAACTCGAGAATGCAAATGGACTAAAAATTCATTAATAGGTACCCGAAGAGTTAGATGCCACATTACAAAAACTTGCTAGAAATTTAAACATTGAAAAGATGACTACCTGAAAAAACACAATTGTCTTGATAGCATTAACATTTGCTGATATTGATTATTTATTCATTCTAATGTTACAAATCAATTTTAAGACATATTTTAAAAACCCTTGTGGAGAGTCAGAGAAAACTCAAAAGTCCAGCAAGGTACTGGAGAAAGAATAACAAATTTGGAAATTAGTGTTAGATGATCTGAGTTTAAATCTCGGTTCTGCCATTTAGCAAGCTGTAAACCATGGGTAAATTTCCTCATTCACAATTCTAAGACAGTATCTACTGCAGAGGACGACAATGGGGCTTGAATGGGATTCATAAGGTGTCAGGCAAGTAGATGCTCAATAAATGTTCCTGACTCTTAAAAGTAAAATGTTAATTAAGTGGAACACAAATATCTGTGTACCACAACTAACTGAAGTTTTTGCAGCAAACGTTCATGGTGAAGAGCCATGCCTTAACATCAGAAATAACTCCGTTCGACTCTTGCCCTGTCACTCAGGAGTTAATATTATCTCGAGCAAGTCACTTACTGCCTCCGGGCTTCTTCCTCACCTATAACACAGAGATAACAGGACTCACTTCACGGGGAAAAGGTGAGCACTGAGTTAATGCACAGAAAGCATCTGGCACAGTGCTCTTCAGTTTATGGAGTTTCTTTAAATCATTTTTTTAAAGGTAATGAATTACTGAACGATATCCAACACACTTTTCTCTCTAATGTGGAAAAAATGACTTGATTCACTTAGGAAAGATTTCTAATGAGTATTGAAACAAGAAAAGATAAAGTAGTCTTCATTTACATTCCCTTTGACAGCTTACAAAGAGTCATCTAAGATTTTTCATCTTAGTGCAGCAGTATGCAAGGGGAAAAAATAAGGGGAAAAGAAAAAAAAAATGAAACATAATACGAAACCAAGACTGGCCAAAACATAAGCAATAAGGTCATGTAAGCTTTGCCAAAATCGAGCCACATATTTGGTTAATAACAACTGTCCACTAGTCTGAATAACTCATTTCATAAAAATTGATCTTAAATAACATTTTACTCATAATCCACACAGACGCCATAAAATTATCTGAGATAGAATTTTTAAAAAGGCCAATTGTGGCTCTAATCTTCATATAAAAATTTTTATAAGTAAACTTCTGATGATCAACACAAAATATTTAATTTGTTTTTTCCCCCTTACACCTAGAGTTCTAGTTCATTAGTTTTAAACATTTACTACCTATTTATTATTCTCTTTAAAAAGCAACATGCAAAGCCTTTATGGGAAATGGCATGTCCTTGATTCTGTCATCGCTGCAACAAATAAATGATAAAACCTAATCACATTATCCAGAATTAAGAAAAATGTTGGCATTCTACAAAATAAGATAATAAATAATGAACACAGCTAATTCATTTTCACATTTATGAGTTAATCAGATAATGGCTTGAACCAAACTGTCCATTTAAAAACAAGCAAACTTACCTAGCCACGTCAAATGATTGTGCCTTCTGTAATTTAGTGTTTAATTGTGACCCTGGACCAGACCTACTAAAAGAAGAACTCTTTGGCAATGTGGCTGCTGTAAAAATAAATAAATGTTGAATAATTTTAATTCTACAAAAAGAAGAAATTGACAAAAATTAAAATGCACAGTCATCAAGTCTGAGGCAGAAACTATTCCTCCTTCCCTACCATCCTGGACTCAAAAAGAGTTACGCCCTCCTTGCTTCCTGCCCTCTCGCCAAAAACATTGCTGGATTTATTTGTTCCTACCGAAAATCACCTTACTAAGTAGTCATGTTTACATCCATAAAATGTTACTTTTCATTCAGCATTTAGTATCTTATTTTATAGGATCTGTCAACAGTAATAGAAGTAACAGCTTAAATACACAGATGGCATCTTCTTAATGGCACCGAAGGAGCTACAGTATTAGTTCCAGATGTGAGGGCCAAGAAGTCAGAGACTTGCAGTCTTGGCCAGATAACGTGACGCTAGGGAGGGTCAGCTTTTGTGTCTGATTCTCATTCAGGCTGGTTAGCTGTGTTACAGAAAAAACCCTGAGCTGTGGCCACATTCCCTCATCCCGGCCTGCTGTTTCGCAACATCTGCCATTAGCCACACCAGAAAACAAGATGGTGCGGGGAGCCACTGGTATCACTGGAAAAACAAGCACTTTCTTGGCTGCCATCACGTCTGCAGTCATGGTCATGTACGAAAGATGAACTGTACGTGACAAGAAAATCTTCAAAAAGAAGTACATTTAGATTCTTCGGCTATAACTTAGAGACGTATCCTGACAGATGTAATAAATCCAGGGGGCTATGCACAGAATTAAGAATTCAAATATAATGCTAAAACCCATGCTGTCATCACCACTGAATTTACTCAGATATACCCAAAGATTCTTTCCCTATTGATATGAATTCAGTAAATTTGTTAGACTAAGGCCATCGACATCTACAATTTATGCTTTCTTTTAATTAAAGGGGAAAAGACTGAATAAAGTCTCAAAATGAAATTAACTAAATCAGGAATTTTTTAAACCTATTCTTCAATTAAGCAAGTATGCAATGCTACGATCTTAATATATTTACATGTTTAATAGACTTCCTTCCCCTGGCTGCCTGATTCACTCCACTTTAACAACAAAACAAAACAAAACAAAAAAGCAATGTTCTCCCCGCCCCCACCACCACATAATTCTGCTCTGAAAGGATTGGCTTGTTTATTAGCAAGTCAGAGCAGCTGAAGAAAAATAGTAACTGATACATGAAAATACAAAACGTTCAAATACTATTTAAATTTCAGTTGCTTTTGTCAAGCCCTTGAAAGGAAATGACTCTCTTGGTTTTAGCTGTTGAGCTCACCTTGGTCCACAGTGGTACCCAGAGCCCATAATTCCATTCTCCTTTCCTTCTCTCTAGCCTAGCACATCCCATTTAATGTGTTGGAAAAATAAGAAATTAAATGAAAAACTGAAGCTATTTTCCTCTGGAACAAAATACCACTTAAATATAACCAGAAAGTGAAGACAGAAGAGTTAACAAGAATGAAGAGTAAAATACAAGTTGTAAAAATTCAGTCTATGGATTCATCAGGTCACATACCAGGATGAGCAAACGCAGGCAGAGGTTGTATAACAGGGGGGGCCCCATTAGCCAGGGGAGGCACTGCTGCTGGAGGAACAGAAGATACTAGGGGTGGGGACATTCCAACAACTGGAATGGGTCCCATTGGCACTGGAGCAACAGCTGTGAGTGGTGGCATGCTGGCAATACCTCCTATACCTACGAAGGAAGAAATCCCAACAAAATTCACAAGGAATCACGTTTCAACATTCAGTGATCATGAATCTAAGACTGCTTGCAGAAGAAAATCATTTTTCAATTGTAAAATATCCCCATGTATAATATTAATTCAGATTAGTCATTTTGAAGAGTACCAAAAATTATGTCAAGGGCACATCAAAAGGGCTCAAGACCCAACCTGCAGAGGGACCTACTGGGCAAAGTTAAGGATCAACAAGAATAATAACTGCAATGGGCTAAAAGCCACCAAACAGAATTAACTTCACAATTCATAATGCCATTTGAAAACAAACAAAACTAAAATACCCTAACTGGTCACAATGTATTTTGAAAATCAGTAAATAAAGAGGGAAAATAAATCAAACATTTCTCCTGCCTTTCCTTTATATATACTGAATCTCAGGGTGACCGAACATTTGATGGGCAAGTTTCTCTTTACAGAAATACTCCAACCAGAAAATGAAGAAATGATAGAACTAAAATAAACATTTCCTTCTGTTTTTGTCTCTCTGTTTCAACTCGTGACATTGTGATGTAATAGGAAATACATATCTGGTCTTCGTCCCCGCTTCCTGGCAGAGCTCCTAAAACCCTTGTTAATTTCCTGACTGATGGGAACATCTGTTATAGTTGGTCTTGGTCCCTGGTTCCTAACACAAGAGCTTCTGAGACCCTTGGAATCGCTGGAGTGATGTCTTTTTGTATCAGAATCAGGTGACTGGGGGCTGAGGGTCCCTAAGTAGCTGCAAGATGGGAGCTGGTAACAGGAAAGGCCAAGTCATGATTAGAGGGTTGGAAAATGGACTTCTTCCCAAGGCATGATTAGAGGACTGAAAAGTCCCGCTCCACCCCACCCTACCTCCACACTGACCTCAGGGGAGAGTAGAGGAACTGGAGATTGAACCAATGGCCAATGGTTTAATTAATCATGCCTACATAATGCAATCTCCATTAAACACTCCTACACTACAGGGTTTGGAGCGCTTCCAGGCTGGTGAACGCACCATGTTGGGAGAGTGGTGAACCCCAATTTCACAGGGACAGAAACTCCTGCACTCAGGACCCTCTGGACCCCACCCTATATCCCTCTCCATTGGACTGTTCATCTCTATTTTTATTACAAACTGGTGAACAAAAATGTTTCCCGGAGTTTTATGAGTGGTTCTAGCAAATTATAGAAAGGGGGAAAAGGGTTTATGGGAACCTCTGACTTTGTAGTCAAGTTGGACAAAAGCGTGGGCACCATGGGGACCCATTACTTGTGACTCAAGTCTGAAATGAGTTCAGTCTTGTGGGACGGAGCTCTTAAACCTGTGGAATCTGATGCTAACTCTGGGTAGTTAGTGTCGGAATTGAATTTAATTATAAGATACTAAGTTAGTGTCTGGAGAGTTAGAACAATGGCTGGTGTGGTTTTTCTGGACACAAAATTCTTGGATTCTTCCTTCCTTGGGAATCCTAAATATGTTACTCCATTTTCTTCTGGCATATAAAGCACTGCTGTAAAAAAGTCCAAAGATATTCTGATCTTCTCTCCCTTGTAAGTCACGTGCTTTCTTTTTCTACATGCCCAGATAATTTTTTGTTTTACTAGGATATATCTAAGCATGGGTCTCTCCAGGTCAATCTTCTCAGGTACATGATACACTCGTTCAAATACACTTTCAGATCTTTTATTTCAAGACAGTTGTCTTGAACTAATTTTTAACATGTGTTCTATTCCTTTGCTTTGGTTTTCTTCTTCAGGGACTCCAATTAGCCGTATATTCAATTTTCTTGGCCTTCAATGTTTGTCGATTTTTCTCAAATCCTTATGTTTTTTCATTTCCTCGTAATTTTTCTTCTTCTTCTTTTTTTTTTTTTTTTTTTTTTTAGCTGAGCCATCCTGCTACCTGATGGCAGCTCAGCGGCTGCTCAGCTCGGGCTGGACTCGAACCGCTGTTGCTCAGAGCTCAAACTCTTGAGCGAGCTCTTAACCAACTGAGCCACTCGGCCGGCCCTCATTTCCTCGTAATTTTTGAAATCCTCCTCTTTTTACCTCTTTTTCTTTTCAGACAGTATCTCTTGTGTTGCTTGTAATCTAGTCTTCATTTCTGAAACGACTTTTTCTTTTATTTCTCACTCTTTTCCTGAGTTCTGAACCGTTATTTCTGAAGTTTTAAAATTCGGATTTGTGTTGGTCTTTTATGACTTGGATCCTTCTCTTAGTATCTTTTAGCTCATTTTGAAATAGTAGGTTACCGGTGTGCTGTCACTGAGCACAGGGGTGTTATCTGGCTCTTTATTCTCTTTTTTCTAATAATAGTCTGAGTGGGACCCAACCTTGCCGGATACTGCCTGTTGCTCATTTGTGTGAGCGCCTTGTTTCCTGGGATTTCCAGTCTCCGCGCTCCTCCCCCAGTTGTGGGAATTCACAGGAACCAGACAGCCCCAGATCTTTCGGGTTTTCTTATCCCAAGCACAATCATTGTAATTACTCTCTAACATTGTGATTTTTCCACTTTAAGTGACCTACTCAGCTTTTAAATAGCCACTGCAAAGACCACATCCGTTTACGAACTGACTACCTTTTCTGAATTTTTCTGTATATTTCTAAATAAATATATCGACCTGAGGTTGTGTTTTGGAAGCCATCCTTCTTGACTCGGCTAATTTCTTGAAAATTTCCCGTCTCTCCTCAACCACTGAGCTTTCTCTTTCCATTCTAAAGATGTGCAAGCACTTCTCATCCTAAACACCCTGTCTTTCAGCTGACACAGCCCTCCAGCCTCGTCTCCCCTTTACAGTTCAACGCTTCCCCTCTTCCAAGCCTCCAATCAGGCTTTTGTCCCTACAACTCCAATGAAACTGCTTGTCAAGGTCACCTGTAAACTCGATTTATGAAATCCAATCACTTTTCTGTCCTATTCTTACTCAGTGTCTCAGAGGCAACTCAAACAATGGAGCACTCCTTCTATAATCCCTTTTCTTGGCTACCAGGACACCGACCAACAACCTTTTACAGACCTTTAAATATCATGGCATGCTAAGATTTGGTTCTAAGTCTTCTGCCTGTACTAGCCAGACTTTCTCTAAGGTATCCTATCCAGTCCCAGGTCTTGCAATGCCATCCACACTCAAACTCTCCCAGAGCTGATGGATCTGCCTCTGAGTCCCAGACACATGGACTGATCTGCCTCTTCATTATCTCAATTTGGCAATCTACTAGGCCCCTCAAACTTACCATGGCCAAAATTTGATTTACTTTTTCTCCAAAATATAATGAATCGAGCCTATTCTACCTTCCACTTTGGTTTTCGCCACCCAGATCTAAAACGCCGTTATCTCTTGCCCGTGGCAAAAGGCGCCTTACTGATTTCCCAGATTCTACTCTGGTCCCCCAGCAGTCCAATCTTCACATAACACAGATGATTTTTTCTAGGTGTCTAGCAACCATGTCACTCCCCTCACTTAAAAGCTCTCTGAAGGTTTCAAATGCACTCCGAAAAAGGAATTCCATCCCCTTAGCAGCTTTAACAGGCCCTAAAGCATCTGACTCCTGCCTTCCCTCGCTGACCTTACTTACAACCTGCCAATGCTTCCGTTTTTGCCTTAAGACCTTTGCAATTGCTGTTCCTTTTGTCTAGAGGTCTTGCCCCCCCTGGTCTTCACATGGCTCTTATCTCTAAGTCAGCTCCAAAGTCATCTCCTCAGGGACTTCTTCCCTGACCTCCTTGTCTACTTGTCTCCTTCTATCTCATTATCTTATTTATCTATTTGCTTGTTTCCCCCAACTTGACAAGAAGCTTCACAGCAGCAGGAGCCATGATGTCTTGCTCACCAGCGTGCGCCCAGCAACCAGGACACACAGTAGGGGCTTAAAAATATTGGTTTACTCCGATAAAGCCATGGACTTCTGGCCAAAAATAATTTTTTTTTTAAATCAAACAAACCAAAAAAATGAACTTCCCTTGAAATAGTTGGGTCCAGAGTAAAAGAACTATGCTGTGTACAAACACACTGAAACAAGGCGGCACCGGGCATCCTCATAGCACTTGCTGCAATACAGCTGGGTACCCTGAGTCAAGTCACAATACCACTGTGCCCCGTTTTCCTCTTCTTAACATAGGGAAGTTGAAGAAAATGACTGTTCATCGCCCAGCTGGCTTTAATAGCACAGTGTGACAATATCTGCGTTAACACATGTAGACAACAAGCCCGCGAAGAGTGAGGCCCCGTGTCACCTGATGGTCTGGTGATAATGAAAGTGGGGAGAGGGGAGAGAAGGTCATAAGGAACCTGAGAGCCTTTAGGGAAACTGCGTGTTTAGACAAGCTCTCCTTCCGTTTGGAAATACAGTCTTAAGGAAATTGTTCCACTTCTTGGAATCTCAGTTCTCTCATTTATATAACAGGGCTCAGCATTTCTGCCTAGTTTCAGGGACACTGGTGTGACTACTAAATAAAATACCATATGAGAAGGCACACCGTGGAAGGGCCAGGAAACGCCTGGTCAGATCATTTTTAATATTAGAAAATAATGATAATAGTAACAAATTCTTTTGCTCCCAAGTAGCCAGAAGGGTAAGAAAAACATTACCCTGGGTTGTGCTGAGACGTGGAAGTAGAAATACTACCAGAGGCCAGGATACACTTGGAAAAACTGGATCAGGACCATGTACTTTTAACTTCTCTTATGTTCTGATATTTCCTCATGATTTAGTTTTCTGAGAACGCTGCTGTGGTGAGAACGAGGTGAGAGGCAGTGGAGGAGCCTGGGGGAAGAGCTAAGGGCTGGCTGTCAGGGTGTCAGAGCCAAATCCCAGCTTCCCACAGAGGCGGCGGCACTGTTAGTTAAGTGACTGGAAAACCATCTGGGCAGGGAGGCCACCGCCTTCTGAAAAGAAATCAGCAATATCTCTAGAGCTGAAATTCCTAGAGCAGAATGGAATAAGAGAAGACACATTAAATGCTAGAGGAAGAATAACTGACACCTGGGTTTGAGAGAAAGAGGAAATAGGATGCCTCTGGTTGTCTGACCCTCTGTCCACCCTGAGGTTTCTTCTTGCAGCACCAGAAAGGAAGCCAAAAGAAAACCAAACACACCCACTAGCTGTTCTATGTTTTAACACATGGATCCTGACCAAACTTTGGCAATAGGGACCTTTAGAGATTCAAAGCAACTTTCACTTAAAAGAAATATTTTTTTTAATGTAATTCCCAAATGACTACCTTTACTGAATATTTTCTGTATATTTCTAAATAAATACATTCATCTGAGGCTACATTTTGGAAACCATCTCTCCGGACTATGCTAATTCTTGAAAATTTCCCATCTCTCCACAATCACTGAGTTTTCTATTCTAAAATGTGGGAGGAAAATGGGGTACAGTGATAGTGTCACTTGCCTCAGGGTCCCCAGCGGAAATCCGGCAAGTGCTATGCAGATGCCTGGTACCTTCTTCCTTCAGTGTGTCTGCACACAGCCTACGGCTTTTCCTCTGGACTCTGGTTAACTAAGGGCTAGGGACTAAGAACGCACGCTGGACAGGGCCCGGCCACTGGAGCCTGCTGCTCACTTCCGCTCTTCCTAGCCTTTGCCCACACATGAATTTTTAAGTGTTTCCTTCTTTTGAGTCACTATCCCACTTGTCTAACCCAAACCCTGCCCCTTTCCCCTAAAAAGCCGTCTCATGGCTAAACTCACCAAAAGGGAGGCCATGCATAGTTTGCTTGTTTTCAATAGTAAATCTAATAAGTAAAACCACAGCATTCATTTATCTCAGCTTATCATTAACCGTACCAGACAAACTGAGCTACTATTGACTGCCCGTTCCCAAACCTACCTCACTCTATCACCTGTCATCAGATATATCAGGAAGAAGAGAGGGTACGAAACTCGATCCACAATTTCTGTTTTGTTTAAACTGTCTAAGAACTTTCCCATGAATCAGAAGTTACATCTGATTACAGTAATCTTTAAATCAACCTAAATGATCAAAGTTTAGGGTGAGAACACAGAGAGAAATCAGAACGGTTGGTGATCTTAGTCAACTAATTACTGATTAATTTTTAAGAAAACTATCTGGCCAAAACATAACTTTTTATGGAATTATGCTTCTCATTGAGATAACAATGTTTACTTTCTCCTGCCTCATTTTGTTCTCAGAATTTAAATGTGGCCATTTGCCTCAGTGCTGTGAATTTAAAAATAGACTTTAAGATACCATAATCCAAAGCAGTTGTTTATACACAAGGAGAAACAAAGATGTTATGGCAACAGAAAACCTAGAGGAAGGATGTGACAATGTGAAGAGTCAAGAATCCAATAAGAGCAAGAAAAAAGATAGAAAATGCAGCAGCAGGCTGCAAGTTTGTTCCTTTTAGGCTGACAATCTGCGCTCCTCACCCCGCCTCACCCCCCTCGTCCCCGCGGCCCACTTGGATCACTCACATCCTGGGGTTAGTGTGAACACGTTCCTTCTCCTCAAGCACTAGTTTCCTGCCTCCGGCCATGACTTTCCCAACAGAATTACCCCCCTAGAATTTCACAAGTGCTAGAAACTGAGAAGGGGGAAAAAGGGGAAACCTTTCTTTTTAAAACATACAATGAAACCTAGGAGCCAATTCCTTTTCCAACTTACCAAACGCTGGTGCACTAGAAATGGCCACTGGTTGCTGTTTCATGACAGGGGGGAGTGCAGAGGGAAGCTGATAGCCTTGGAGCTTCAGTTTGATAAGTTTCATAGCTATGGAGAACTCCACTTGATCCATTCTTCCATCATTATTCATGTCGGCCAGTGCCCTGCAAAACCAGCAGCAAGGGCTTCAAACCACTGTGACTGTGAAAGAATGAATGTTTCCCAAGTCACCACTCCCACCCGCACAAAAACAAAATAATCAGCTCCCTTAATCCTGGGGAGAAAAAAACAAAGCAAAACTAAATTTATTCACCAAGCTATAGGGAGTAACCTGGAAATACTGATAAGATTTTATATAAATATAAGATGCTTTTTATTGTGTTATTCTTTACGTATAGGATTCATGAGGTAGTTTTCAGTCTGAATTTCAGGATATGTACTTTGGATATCAAATAGGGTTTCTTTGTGGAGTGATGAAAATGTTCTAAAATTGGATCGTGGTAATGGCTGCACAACTCTGAATAGACTAAAAAAACAATGAATTATACACTTTAAAAGGATGAATTCTATTCTGTGAATTATGTGAAAATAAAGGTGCTAGCAAACAAAGTAGTTACGAACAGAGAGTTTATTTCTAGAATTACTCGACTAGATTGCACCAACTCCTCTGAGGCTCTACTAANTCAGCTCCAAAGTCATCTCCTCAGGGACTTCTTCCCTGACCTCCTTGTCTCCTAGTCTCCTTCTATCTCATTATCTTATTTATCTATTTGCTTGTTTCCCCCAACTTGACAAGAAGCTTCACAGCAGCAGGAGCCATGATGTCTTGCTCACCAGCGTGCGCCCAGCAACCAGGACACACAGTAGGGGCTTAAAAATATTGGTTTACTCCGATAAAGCCATGGACTTCTGGCCAAAAATAATTTTTTTTTTAAATCAAACAAACCAAAAAAATGAACTTCCCTTGAAATAGTTGGGTCCAGAGTAAAAGAACTATGCTGTGTACAAACACACTGAAACAAGGCGGCACCGGGCATCCTCATAGCACTTGCTGCAATACAGCTGGGTACCCTGAGTCAAGTCACAATACCACTGTGCCCCGTTTTCCTCTTCTTAACATAGGGAAGTTGAAGAAAATGACTGTTCATCGCCCAGCTGGCTTTAATAGCACAGTGTGACAATATCTGCGTTAACACATGTAGACAACAAGCCCGCGAAGAGTGAGGCCCCGTGTCACCTGATGGTCTGGTGATAATGAAAGTGGGGAGAGGGGAGAGAAGGTCATAAGGAACCTGAGAGCCTTTAGGGAAACTGCGTGTTTAGACAAGCTCTCCTTCCGTTTGGAAATACAGTCTTAAGGAAATTGTTCCACTTCTTGGAATCTCAGTTCTCTCATTTATATAACAGGGCTCAGCATTTCTGCCTAGTTTCAGGGACACTGGTGTGACTACTAAATAAAATACCATATGAGAAGGCACACCGTGGAAGGGCCAGGAAACGCCTGGTCAGATCATTTTTAATATTAGAAAATAATGATAATAGTAACAAATTCTTTTGCTCCCAAGTAGCCAGAAGGGTAAGAAAAACATTACCCTGGGTTGTGCTGAGACGTGGAAGTAGAAATACTACCAGAGGCCAGGATACACTTGGAAAAACTGGATCAGGACCATGTACTTTTAACTTCTCTTATGTTCTGATATTTCCTCATGATTTAGTTTTCTGAGAACGCTGCTGTGGTGAGAACGAGGTGAGAGGCAGTGGAGGAGCCTGGGGGAAGAGCTAAGGGCTGGCTGTCAGGGTGTCAGAGCCAAATCCCAGCTTCCCACAGAGGCGGCGGCACTGTTAGTTAAGTGACTGGAAAACCATCTGGGCAGGGAGGCCACCGCCTTCTGAAAAGAAATCAGCAATATCTCTAGAGCTGAAATTCCTAGAGCAGAATGGAATAAGAGAAGACACATTAAATGCTAGAGGAAGAATAACTGACACCTGGGTTTGAGAGAAAGAGGAAATAGGATGCCTCTGGTTGTCTGACCCTCTGTCCACCCTGAGGTTTCTTCTTGCAGCACCAGAAAGGAAGCCAAAAGAAAACCAAACACACCCACTAGCTGTTCTATGTTTTAACACATGGATCCTGACCAAACTTTGGCAATAGGGACCTTTAGAGATTCAAAGCAACTTTCACTTAAAAGAAATATTTTTTTTAATGTAATTCCCAAATGACTACCTTTACTGAATATTTTCTGTATATTTCTAAATAAATACATTCATCTGAGGCTACATTTTGGAAACCATCTCTCCGGACTATGCTAATTCTTGAAAATTTCCCATCTCTCCACAATCACTGAGTTTTCTATTCTAAAATGTGGGAGGAAAATGGGGTACAGTGATAGTGTCACTTGCCTCAGGGTCCCCAGCGGAAATCCGGCAAGTGCTATGCAGATGCCTGGTACCTTCTTCCTTCAGTGTGTCTGCACACAGCCTACGGCTTTTCCTCTGGACTCTGGTTAACTAAGGGCTAGGGACTAAGAACGCACGCTGGACAGGGCCCGGCCACTGGAGCCTGCTGCTCACTTCCGCTCTTCCTAGCCTTTGCCCACACATGAATTTTTAAGTGTTTCCTTCTTTTGAGTCACTATCCCACTTGTCTAACCCAAACCCTGCCCCTTTCCCCTAAAAAGCCGTCTCATGGCTAAACTCACCAAAAGGGAGGCCATGCATAGTTTGCTTGTTTTCAATAGTAAATCTAATAAGTAAAACCACAGCATTCATTTATCTCAGCTTATCATTAACCGTACCAGACAAACTGAGCTACTATTGACTGCCCGTTCCCAAACCTACCTCACTCTATCACCTGTCATCAGATATATCAGGAAGAAGAGAGGGTACGAAACTCGATCCACAATTTCTGTTTTGTTTAAACTGTCTAAGAACTTTCCCATGAATCAGAAGTTACATCTGATTACAGTAATCTTTAAATCAACCTAAATGATCAAAGTTTAGGGTGAGAACACAGAGAGAAATCAGAACGGTTGGTGATCTTAGTCAACTAATTACTGATTAATTTTTAAGAAAACTATCTGGCCAAAACATAACTTTTTATGGAATTATGCTTCTCATTGAGATAACAATGTTTACTTTCTCCTGCCTCATTTTGTTCTCAGAATTTAAATGTGGCCATTTGCCTCAGTGCTGTGAATTTAAAAATAGACTTTAAGATACCATAATCCAAAGCAGTTGTTTATACACAAGGAGAAACAAAGATGTTATGGCAACAGAAAACCTAGAGGAAGGATGTGACAATGTGAAGAGTCAAGAATCCAATAAGAGCAAGAAAAAAGATAGAAAATGCAGCAGCAGGCTGCAAGTTTGTTCCTTTTAGGCTGACAATCTGCGCTCCTCACCCCGCCTCACCCCCCTCGTCCCCGCGGCCCACTTGGATCACTCACATCCTGGGGTTAGTGTGAACACGTTCCTTCTCCTCAAGCACTAGTTTCCTGCCTCCGGCCATGACTTTCCCAACAGAATTACCCCCCTAGAATTTCACAAGTGCTAGAAACTGAGAAGGGGGAAAAAGGGGAAACCTTTCTTTTTAAAACATACAATGAAACCTAGGAGCCAATTCCTTTTCCAACTTACCAAACGCTGGTGCACTAGAAATGGCCACTGGTTGCTGTTTCATGACAGGGGGGAGTGCAGAGGGAAGCTGATAGCCTTGGAGCTTCAGTTTGATAAGTTTCATAGCTATGGAGAACTCCACTTGATCCATTCTTCCATCATTATTCATGTCGGCCAGTGCCCTGCAAAACCAGCAGCAAGGGCTTCAAACCACTGTGACTGTGAAAGAATGAATGTTTCCCAAGTCACCACTCCCACCCGCACAAAAACAAAATAATCAGCTCCCTTAATCCTGGGGAGAAAAAAACAAAGCAAAACTAAATTTATTCACCAAGCTATAGGGAGTAACCTGGAAATACTGATAAGATTTTATATAAATATAAGATGCTTTTTATTGTGTTATTCTTTACGTATAGGATTCATGAGGTAGTTTTCAGTCTGAATTTCAGGATATGTACTTTGGATATCAAATAGGGTTTCTTTGTGGAGTGATGAAAATGTTCTAAAATTGGATCGTGGTAATGGCTGCACAACTCTGAATAGACTAAAAAAACAATGAATTATACACTTTAAAAGGATGAATTCTATTCTGTGAATTATGTGAAAATAAAGGTGCTAGCAAACAAAGTAGTTACGAACAGAGAGTTTATTTCTAGAATTACTCGACTAGATTGCACCAACTCCTCTGAGGCTCTACTAATCTCACCATGGGGACATGACATGCTACGCTTTTATAATTCTACTGTATGTAGCTGTGAAAATTAATTGAGCTTACAAGTGTGTTTATTATTTGGAAATGGTACTCAAACATCAATGGTCAAGTGTAACTTGCAATGAGCTTCTATGTAAAGTATATTCTCTCTGAGAAAAGTAAGCAAAAGAAAAGGGTTTTGTCCTCGCAACTGGAAATGGTGTGATGTGACCCAAACCAAAACTGTGCATATTCATGACTTAACCTCTTCTGCATGAAGAATGTTGATTCTGATTTCATTTCTTTTACTCTAGATATCAAAAGAGGGAGAATTTATTTTTTAAATCAATCTTTTAAATGCCACGACTAGCAATCTTTTAAAGGAACCACATCCAGGGAGTATCCAAAAAAGAAAATTAAGTTTCATAGAAAATAATCCTGTCATATTTAATAAGCTATAATAATGTTGCTGGAGTTAACTCAAAGAGAGAAAACATAAAACACAATAAAAAAGCATGACATTTCACAAAACTAAACCTCTCTAAATATGTTAAAAATGGTAAAAGCCAACACTATTCTTTTGGAAAATAAGGTCATAAAGAGAGAAACGGAACCCCACAGCTACAGAACCTCCTTTCTGCCCCAGACAGACCCACGCCCGTCCCCTGTAGTCAGTGATCCCCCTCAGCAAACCACAGGAGTGGAATCTGAATTTTACTCTCTACCAGTGAGCCTGAGCGCTGCTTTCCATATGTTTCTGGTCATTTGGATTCATACATGAATTGCTCATTCACAACCTTTGCCAAGTTTTCTGATAGATTGCATGTCTTTTTCTACTCAGTTTATAAGAACTCATTGTGTATTACGTATTAACTGTTTATCTGTTGATTGCTGATTTTTAAAAATGTATTATTTGTCTTTTGATTTGTGTATAGTATCTTTACTGAAAGAAATTCTACATTTTTACATGTAAAATATTTCTTTTATCACAGTTTGTACCTTTTCAGTACTTTATTTTCTAAGATAATTTTATTACATTTCAGTCTTTAAAACAACTACAATTGTTTGTGTATGTATGGTATATTCTTTTTGTTTGTTTTTTTAGAAGATTTTATTGGGGAATTGGGGGAGGGGAACAGTGTTGGGAAATTAGGGAAGGAAACCAACCAAGTTGTTCTTCAATCTTCGTTGTGGAGGGCGCCAGTCGCCATCTGGCTTCCCGTCAGCACCTCGTGACCTCTAAACTCAAGGTGCTGTGTTCAATCTCAGTTGCGGGTGGGCGTAGCCACCATCCCACGTGGGAGTCAAACCAGCAGCCTTGTTGTTAAGAGCACATCCGGGCCATCCGGGCGGCAGCTCAGCTCAAGGTGCTGAGTTCAGTCTTAGGTGTGGGTGGGCATAGCCCACCATCAAACAGGCAATCTTGTTGTTACATCAGCTGAGCCATCCTGCCACCTATTCGCAGCTCAGCGACAGCTCAGCTCGGGCGCAGTGTCACTGGCCCATGTGGGAATCGAACCTGCAGCCCTGTTGCTCAGAGCTTGCGCTCTTAAGCCAACTCTTAACCAACTGAGCCTCTCGCCCGGCCTATGTATGGTATATCCCTGGGCTCAACCTTATTTCTTCCAAATGGATACCTAGCTTTCCCAGCAACATTTATCAATTAATCCACTCTCTTCTCACTGAACTAAAAAATATTTTTGTTCTTTATTAAACATTCGTATGAAGTGAGACCTCTTTCTGGATTATCTACTCTGACTGAACAATTCCATCAATATGACAATGAACTGATCACACTCGTTCTATGGTACATTCTGATAGCTGGCATGGCTTTTTTTTTTTTATTAAACGTTATTGGGCTACTCACACATGTTTCTTTTTCCCTACGAACTTTAAGATTGTTTATGTATTCTACAAAAAACCCTATTGAGATCCAAGTTGAAACTGCATTAATATATTAATTAATTTTGGGGGAAATGACACATTTATGATAGTCTCTCCACCGAAGAAAATAGTATGTTCAGTTCTACCAACATTTCCTTCAATGAGATATCACTTTCTTCATATACGTACTTTTCTTCAGAATGTTATCTTTTTTGTCATTGTGTTAAATAAAACATTTCCCCCATTTTCATATTTATGTGCTTGCTGCAAGCACAGAGAAAAATTTTGCTGTTAATAATCATTTATACTCACCTATCTTATCAACCTTCTATGAATCTTATCAATTTTTTTAAACTAAAATAAAACCTCTTGTGTTTGATCAGTATAAAATCACATAACAGCAAAAAAAGAGTTAAACTTTCTCTTCCAATATTTATACCATTCTTCTGTTTTACTGGTCTTATTGCCTCTAAGACCAACAAAGAATAGGAATGGTATTAAATATGTGAGCATCCTTGCTTAGCTATGACCAATGAAATGGCCATAGTGTTTCATTGTTTAGAATAATATTTGGTAATGACTTTTAGAAGCAGCCTGGCATATTTAAGCAGTTCCCTTTTCCACTTATTAAAAATGGTTACCGTATTTTTTATCCAGTGCCTAATCAGCATCTCCTGAGCAGAACACACCTTTTCTTTTTCCTTTTATCTGCTAATATAAAAATGCTCAGAGAATTTCCTGATTCTGAACCAACCTTATAACTCTGGCATAAACTAAAGTTGGTCATAGTTTTCATACACTCTGGAATTCTATTTGTTAAGATTTTGTTGGGCTGGCCGAGTGGTTCAGTTGGTTAAGAGTATGAGCTCTGAGCAACAGGGTCGCCAGTTCAATTCCCACATGGACCAGTGAGCTGCGTTGGAGCTGAGCTACCACTGAGCTGCCAACAGGTGGCAGGATGGCTCAGCTTGTGAGAGAATGTGCTCCTGACAACAAGATTGCCTGTTCAATGGTGGGCTATGCCCACCACAACTAAGACTGAACTCAGCACCTTAAGCTGAGCTGCCGGCCGGATGGCTCAGTGGATAGAGCGTGCACTCTTAACAACGAGGCTGCCGGGGTTTGACTCCCGCATGTGATGGTGGCTACACCCACCCGCAACTAAGACTGAACTCGGCACCTTGAGCGGCCAAGAGCTGCCAACAGAGAGGCCGGACAGCAACTGGACTTGGAGCTGAACTAGCTTAGCTGCACCTTCCACAACTAAGATTGGCTGTTCCCCTTCCCCAATTCCCACCACTGTTCCCCTTGCCAATTCCCCAATAAAATCTTTAAAATAAAAGATTGTTTTGATTTTTTTTGTATCTATATTTATAATTGAAACTTGTCTTTGGTTGTTTTATCTCTGTACTATCTATCTTTCAGGTTTTATTAAGAAAGTTAAATACAATGAAATGGTGAACTTTCTTTTGCTAAGTATTTGTAAAAAGATATTCAGCTATTTCAAATGGCTTTCAGGAAAAAAATAAAAGTTTCCATAAACATGCATACTTTAAAAAAAAGTAAAAATCAGGCCGATAAGAGTCCCACTCCCTACTCCCCCACCACGGCCCTCAAAAACGTGTTTTCTAGTGAGAAACAGAAATATCCAATGTGGAATAATGAGTGGGTTAGGGGAGAAAAAAGCTTCTAATAAGGGTTTAATAAGTAAAATTTGGCTTCTAAGAAACTGCCCGCTGAAGTGCCTCAGTGGGAGAGGAAACATGGGCTCCCCAGGTTCTAAGTGCTTGACTGTGAGCCACACACCACATCTCCAAAATACTGCTTGAGGATTTTGTGTGATCTTGCCTAAAACATTTTTTTCAACTAATAAAACATATCTGTTGGAACTTCTTGGTACTCAAAGGAATCTAAAGAAATACAGTAGTTACTCTTCCAAAGTTCAGCTCTCCCTCCACTACCCTAGAATAGAGTTGGAATTCTATTTCTCAAGGCTTCTCTGCAAAAAAACAACTTCAGTTCTATCAACCATTTCATTTATAGTTATTTCTCAGCTTACCTGTTTCTAATAATTCTCCCAAAAGCCTAATGAAAAGTCTGAGAATTCTGAAATTAGATTCATAAAACTTTGAAAGTTAAAAAAAAATACACACAAAAAAACCCAAAAACATTAAAAAAAATTTTTTTAAAGTGCAAATCAAACAATGGCTGTTTATGACAAACTGATCTTAAACAATGTTTAGCTTGATGTTAAAATCTATACATAACAACAGGAAGGGTTGAAATGAGAAAGGAACCAAAGTATGCTAAATACTAAGGGCAATTTTTTTGTTTGTTTGATTTGTACAAATAAACCATATGTCAGTCACTCTTATACACTGTCAGTGGGAAAAAGTGCTTCAACTCTAAATGGAGGGAAATCGGGCAACTTCCGCAGAACTGCATGTGCATTTACTCCTTGACCCAGCAATTCCACTCCTAGCAATTTCCCCGGAAGATAGACCTCTAGCAATACAAAAGTACATATGCTTTAGCTCACTCATTGCTACGTTATTTGTAATTGCAAAATATTAGAAATAACCTACATACACATACACAGGAGGTTGG